AACCGCGGCCAATGAGAGTTACAGGGGTGGTGCCTGCGGACGGGGCAACGTGCAGAGCCACCTGGCCACACCTCCGCATAGGAGGCAGAGAAGGGACATGCCGCTGCTTCTGGGAGCCACCTGAGGTATGCGCCACCCAGAATCTGCACCCCTGAGCCTCCCCCCGCGCCCCAACCCCCTGACCCAGCCCTAATCCCCCTCCTGCCCTCCAAACCCCTCGATCCTAGCCCAGAGCCCCCTCCCGCACCCTGGACTCCTCATTTCTGGCCCCACCCCAGAGCCCTCACCCCAACCCCAATTTTGTGAGCATTCATGGTCCGCCATACAATTTCTATTCACAGATGTGGCCCTCAGGCCAAAAAGTTTGCCCACCCCTGCCTTAAGGTGAGATTAAGCATTACGGTTGCCACCATCCTGCTATACCGAGATCCCGCCATGGGTTGGGATTGAGTCCCCATTTATGCACCTATTCCCTTACAGCGACCTATTTCCGAGATCACATGGCCCCTTGTTCATACTTGCCATTTCTGCTGCGCATGGTTGAGGTTCCGACAATTGCCATAAGCATCTGTGCAGACAGAAGGTTCTCTACACAACGCAGTTAGGGAACTCAGGCTAAATAAAGGCTTTACAGTCGATCACAAAACAGATATTGTTAAATCTTCTGACCCAGGGTTACTTGCTAATGCTAACGTTCATTAAGCCTAATGTGGCCTTCTGCTAACCATTGCTACCACTGGGCCTCAAGCTGAACAGTAGGCTTCAGGCTCACTGCCAAGCCCACTTTAAAATAATCTTTAAGTTTCTTTGCTTATTCCTACTTGCATCAGAGCGTTCGTTTCATTCACACTGGGTTAGAAAGCACCGTAACTCTTTCTAAGATATGATTATTCTGCCGATCACCTGAGTTCAGGCCATGGGTTAGAGGTCAACAGGATATTAATGGGGAAACCATTCTGTGTTCTTCTATTAAAGATTCACTTGTGGGAACTACATTGTTTATCCTTATAACCCAGTGCCCACTAGCAAGAAAGAGAAACTGTTAGGACGTCAGTGATTGTCCAACACCTGCGCATCACGTGCTCCGGTACCAACTTACCACCCTGCCTTCGCCCCAGAATCAGCCTGCACATTATGCAGTAGCAGGCAGACTTGCTCAGGGAGAGTGCAGAACTGGACTGCGGTGTTAGCCAACACATATGTATTGCACAGCACATTAATATGTATGACACACACCAGCTTATCATGCATTGTGCAGCCAATATTAATCTCGGTATGTATAGTGTTGGGACGTTATGCTAACGGAATTGTATTATGCTCTTCCCACAATTCTGTTCACCCATGCTAAGTATCCCACAACACTTTGCAAAAAACTGAACTCCGCTTTAGCACTAGCCAATATAAAACCTGTCAAGACAAGATACAGGTTGGGATGTGCCTCCACAGCACAACTAGTACTTGGAACGTGAAACCCCAAACAAAAAAGATAAGGAAAGAATAGGTGGATAAAGGAAAACAAGATAAAAGAGCTGATTGGTGGATTTCAGTCTTAGGAGACAAATTAGAGAGCTCTCCACTACAAATATTGCTAGTTTGAATGCTTACTTTGGAGCACAGCTTCTGTGCAGGATGAACTGAAACGGCAAGGGAACAGCTTCCCACAAGGATTGGAAAAGTATTAACTTGTTGCTTTCTGTATTGTAAAGATTTGTCGTTAGACAATCACATTGGCTAAGGCAGAGATTTTCTACCTGTGGTCCACAGACCCCTGCGGGTCCGCAGACTACATCGAAGATTTCCAAAGGGTCCTCACCTCCATTTGAAATTTTGTAGGCGTCTGCAAATGAAAAAAGATTGAAAACCACTGGGCTAAGGCTTGGTTATTTGGTTTCTTGAACATTTTTAATATCAAACCACAATTATAGTCAAGCAACTGGCCCTACTTAAGAAAATAGTTGGAACAAATACACTGAAGATAGCACCAGTGGCTCCCATGATCATGGTCTTGGTGACAACAGATCGAGTACTGACAGTCCAGCAAACTCTCCTGTGACGGGTTAGATCACAGAACCCCCCTTGGGAGCTGCCACCTGATGTGCCAAGACTACTTCTGCCCCTGCTTTCCCTGCCAGCTCGGGACCCCAGCACCCTGTCTTGCTGAGCCAGACACACCCGTCTGCTCCAACAAAGACCCAGGGTCTGAATTACTTGCCCCAAAGCTGCAGACTTAACTGAAGCAGCTTACAGAAGTGTTCTTGTCTTTAACACTCAGATGCCCAACTCCCAATGGGGTCTAAACCCAAATAAATCCGTTTTACCCTGTATAAAGCTTATACAAGGTAAACTCAAATTGTTCTCCCTCTATAACACTGATAGAGAGATATGCACAGCTGTTTGCCCCCTCCAAGTATGAATACATATTCTGGGTTAATTAATAAGTAAAAAGTGATTTTATTAAATACAGAAAGTAGGATTTAAGTGGTTCCAGGTAGTAACAGACAGAACAAAGTGAATTACCAAGTAAATTAAAATAAAACCCTAATACAGTAATACAACTGAATACAGGTAAAATCTCACCCTTAGAGATGTTTCAATAAGTTTCTTTTCTCAGACCGGACACCTTCCTAGTCTGGGCACAGTCCTTTCCCCTGGTCCAGCCCTTGTTCCAGCTCAGGTGATAGCTAGGGGATTTCTCATGATGGCTGCCCCTTTGTTCTGTTCCACCCATTTATATATCTTTGCATAAGGCGGGAATCCTTTGTCCCTCTGGGTTCACCCCCCCTCCTCACTGGAAAAGCACCAGGCTAAAGATGGATTCCAGTTCAGATGACATGATCACATGTCACTAAGACCCCAAGCCTTCATTCCTCTCAGCCTGCTGCAAACAGAGCCATCCACAGTCAATTGTCCTGGTTGATGGGAGCCATCAAGATTCCAAACCACCATTAATGGCCCACACTTTGCATAATTACAATAGGCCCTCAGAGTTATATTTCATATTTATAGTTTTAGATACAAGAGATATACATTTAAAGAAATAGGATGATCACACTCAGTAGATTATAAGCTTTGCAATGATACCTCACAAGAGACCTTTTGCATGAAGCATATTTCAGTTACATTATATTCACTCATTAGCATATTTTTATAAAATCATATGGACTGCAACGTCACATCTCCCTCCTCCTCCTCCTTTCTCACTTGCTTTAAATCAGTGACAGTTACTACTGGCATCGAAACTGCCTATATTAAGCTCAAGAATTAACACCTCCTGAGATCAATGGACAGTTCACACCATGAAAAGCACTGGCATGTTAAACAGCCATGACTTGGCCCAATTTCATCTCCTACGGGTTGGGAAATGGTACAGCAAGCCCAGATGCAGGAATCTTTGGTACCCATGCCATTTTTCCCACGCAAAATAGTCCAGCTGACCGTAGTTCAGAGGAATGTCTGACAGGAAATTGTACAGTCCCCAAACCAGAATGAGACCCAGGCATAGTTCTCTAATGTGCCATGCAGGCCTTGGCCCTCTAATCAGAAACAGGACCATTCTGCCGCTCCCTCTCAAGCACAGTTCACGTAGACCATGGCCTTGTGTTCCCATTTGCAGAAGGCCAGGAAGAGAGAAAGCACTTGCTGTTACAAAAATCCCTCATAGTATAAACTTCTACAGGAGAAGGCCATTAGCACATGCCAACCTAGGCTTTGGGAAATTAGTTTTTCCTGTGATTCTTGAGATCAGACACCTAGTGGAATATAAGCGTGGAGTGGGGGATATACTGGGAGAGGTGGAAAAAATCTTACAGACCTTCCCCCTGCTGGGGAAAGAGTGGTGGCACTCATGCCCCACCCACAATCTCGGTGTACATGGATGTTTCACTGCTAATTGTTTTAGCAGGAATATTTAACACTGAGATCTAATGGCAACTTCAAAACCTAACTCTCCCTTGAAATGAATGGGGCAACTCTCTCCTCTCGTCTGTTATTTCAGGCTGTCTGCAGACTCAGGCAGACATCGCTGCCGTTAGACACACCTTGAAGGTTTTCTTTGCAAACATAAGGATTAGGCGTGCATGCGCACCATGCTAACTAGTACTGCTGCCTCTGATCACTACACTCCCTGTAAGCGATACGTTTAATACTTAACCCTGGATCTTTCGCAATTATTCCATCCATCCAGTCTGCCTCTGACCTCCTCTTGCCCTGGAAGAGGGAGTTCCATGGAATTCAATATCCATGCTCATTCGGTTCCCAGCTCGAGCATACCTCAATGATGCTACACAACTGGGCTCTGCCCCCACTGAATTTCCCCTTTGCCTCCCGTAACCTTCATGTTGATTATTTCTGAGCAAGCACAGCAGAATTCACTGCCCCCGCCCCAGATCCGTTGTGTTAAGGATTACATACTGCCAGCCGTCTGTCACAAAGCATGTTTTTCCAGTATCCACCACCTAATCACAGCTCCTTGGAAACAGAAATCAAACCACACAGGAGACCAAGACACTGATTCCACAGTTCCGTTCGCCTTCCCAGTTAAAAGCTCTCTCAACGTGACCAGTTTTACCAGGCGGTGCCAACTGTTGAGTGTATACATCTCAACGACAATGCTCTGAACGGATTATCAACGCACACAAATACTACACCATACTGTACCCTGCACCAGCTGAAGAAAGAGGGTCCACACACCCACAGAATAGCCTGTTTCACACTCCCACTGTTTTGTTAGTTTCTCAGCAAGATAGGATCTGAAAACAGAGCTTAATTAGGAAATATTTAACCTCAGGGGATAGGAGTGAAAAATATGGTGTCTCAACATGTGAAAATTTAATTCATTTGCTTTAAAAATATCAACCGCAACAACTGGCAAACAAAGATGGCTTGCAGAGAGGTCTTTGACCACAAAGAACCAGGCACGTGTTAGGCTAAAATGCCACATACCACCTAGAAGGAAGATGTTCTTAGCATAAGCTGTGGTCGGAGAAATATGGTGTTCTGACCTGATGATGAATGCTCCTCTGGTCTCCAGCAGCTTCCGCTCACTGCTGAATCTCTTGAGGAGGTTGATCATGAATTTGTAGAAGTAGGAGTTCATGGTGGGGGTGGAAGGGGAGCACTCCATGCCTTTCATACCTGGAGGGGGAAGGAGAGCAAGTTACAGAACACAGTCATAAGTGCAGCTCTCTTTGAATTGGAATTCTGTCCATGTAACGTGCATTTACTCTTCTGGCATGAACCTGTCAGGGTGGGGGAAGGAGAGTGGCAGTGAGAGTCAGGTAGAGGATTTAAGGCATGATCCAATGGTCTTTCCTTGAGGTACTTATATCTATGTAGCTTATTTCCATAAATGTCTGGCACCTTTATACCAAGATAACCGCATCCACACAGGAGGTTGCACAGATTTGTGTGTCAGTTTCTAAACAGATATAGTTAAATCAATGCAAAAACTATGCACAGACCAGCTCTCCATGTAGTCTAAGCTTTACTTTTACTGTGATTCTACACACCAATACACATACCCCTCCACCACACGCACACGCGCGCACTGCCACTTTGAATGGCTAGTTCATTCAAGCAGCTGAGCCAGGGCTTAGCGCAGGAACTGAATTAATGAAGATATTCCTTGTGCTGCTGATTTCATTTCTTTACGTTCTCCTTCAGGAAGTTTCACGCCGCTACTGAACAGCTCGGGGTCTGGCACTAGTGAACACAGTTCAAGTTGCAGCATTTGGTGATCACAAAGTGTAATCCGAAGAACTACTAACTGGAGAGCCCGAATTGAACACCGACTTACAAGTGCCTTTATTAAGGACTTTTCCTCTTTACAGGGAATTTGTTGGGAGACAAGGCAGGTGTGTGGGGAAATGTGCATCAGAAAGATACTTTCAATTTGGTGATCAAAAGCAAAGAGGTTAGTAGTGAGCATAGAGGCAGTGCGGCGTAGTGGATAGTGCACCTCACGTCGGGCTCTGCCCGTAACCTGCTGAGACAGGCTCTCCGGGGCAAGTACGGTCTTGCTGAGTGTTTGTACAGATCTTAACACATTGGGCCCCGATCTCGATTTGGGGCTTTAGGTGTTACTATTATAATTTATCAGCATTATAAAGTTATTACCATGGGCACCATTACTTTACAACCCTATGGATCTGAGAGTTCTTTTACACACTTGTAATTCAATTCACATAGCCTAATCTCACTGAGAGACAAGTGATAACTTGATAAGATACTATTTGCATGTTAATTGAACTGTGTAAGGGTGTTGGCATGCCAGTTAGCTGGAGAGGCGTGAAAAATGCACTTCCTAGTTCAGGATACCCAGACAGTGTTTAAGACAATTTCACCCCAGAGACAGACACTTCAACCTCAGAGAAGTTGTCCAATAACGACTGCTTTCAAGTGATGGGACTAAGGTATCTACTTAATTACTAGAACACTAATAAGAAGAATTGCTGTGTGAGAGAGACAGCCATAATGATACAGCTAGGGCACTACCAAAGAACCCATCCAGAGAGGAGCAAAGTCTTCGGTACTTCTCAACAGATCGAATGATAACTTAGAGTTTGATTCTTTTAATCCATTTGTACTGAGCTGGGAGCTAGTTGGTCATCAGGTCATGGTGTACCCAATTAAAAGCATAGTGAAAAGAAAGACTGAAAATTTACTGAATGGTTTCTTGTTGGGCCAGCATGAAGAGATGAGGGCCTGATGGGGATGGAGTATGGTTGGGGAAAATCCTGCCTCAGTGGGTGGAGCTGGTGTGACCAAGGGCATCCGCTTTCAAGTTTCCAGATCCCCAACTGTCAACCTCTCTGGTGCTGAAACACGTGTCTCCATGCCAGTGATCCAGATTTTGGCACAAGTGGGTAATGCTCAGCCTCCCAGCTGGCAAGAATTGAACACATACAAATCCCAGGGGGAAATGAAATGAGACACCAACATGGCTGGGATGTGCAGAGGAAACTAGGGGAATCAGGCATCTATTCCCATTGAATTTCACCCATTCCCTTAAGGGCCTTTGAAAGCCCAGCCCATGCTCTTAAATAACCTTTAATGGCCAGCTCCCAGAAAGCAAGTGCTAACCACAGCAGTGTATTCCCTCAGCTGCAGGTAAAATGTTCCAGATTAAAAAAAAAAAAAAAAATACTATATTGCCAAGACAAAATATTCCAATACAAAGGTGCATGTGTTCAAGTGACTACATTAACCAGAGCTGAAATATATCCAGACCCTCCGTATAGCCCGTACAGCTGTTCCTCATTGTTCACAGGAGACTCAAAATAGAAACACTTCAGATGATCCCATATGCAGCAGCCCATCTTTAAACACAGCGTGTCAGCCCAGTGCTCCGCAGACCGCACTGAGTAGCTGGTCATTACCGGATCCAAATTGGAGTCCTAGCAGCAGTCGCCAAAGCTTTACATGGACAGAGCTCCCGGTGACAGGCGTGGCTAGTCCCTGCAATAGCCTGGACACGCCTCATTGAATGATGTTTGCATATCACTGTGGGCCAGGGACTGTATGTGATTCCATGGGGCAGGGGGACTGCAATCCTCCAGGAGCTAAGGACAGTGGGGTTGAGGTGATTGGGCAAATTCACTCAGGGTGTAACACCTCTGGAGAGGCTACATATATTGGTTCAGAGACCAACAAAGAAAGGACTTTTGGATAAATAGCTTGAGTTTTCACAGACTCAGGGCCAGCTTTCAGATCCAGCAAACGGACTGGACCTTCTGTCTAAAGGGGGCCCCAATCTTTCCTGGGAGGGTTTGGAAGGACTTGACCTATTCATGGGGGTGCTTGTTCTGAATTAAGAGCTGTCATGAACTTGTGGCCACAGAAAATGCCTTGGTGGGGTTTGAAGGACTGATCACCTGCCAGAGTTGGGGTGATCTCTGGTAAGCTAATTAACATGTATGTAAATTCTTTTACTGTTGTAATATCTTTTGTCTAACGCTTTCACCTTAAGAATAAATGTGCTTGCTTAGAAAATCTGTGTGGTACCTTATACCTATGGGAAATTATGCTGTTTATAGCCTCCGAAGAGGCGGCCAAGCAAGCCTGCTGAGACAGTCTCACTTGCTGGAGAAGCAGAGAGGAGGCAGGGAGCTGTGCAGCCTGGAAAAACCCCAGTCAGGATGGAGACAGACACGTGTTTCAGCACCAGAGAGGTTGACAGTTGGGGATCTGGAAACTTGAAAGCGGATGCCCTTGGTCACACCAGCTCCACCCACTGAGGCAGGATTTTCCCCAACCATACTCCATCCCCATCAGGCCCTCATCTCTTCACCCGCTCAGGCAGAAATCTGGACCTAAAGGTCAGACCCTTCTCAGAGGAGGCCTCTCTCTCCTCATGACCACATCCGCTGAGTTCCTCCAGCGCTCCGGAACGGACAGCGTCAAGGACACAGCGAGCCTGTGCTGGGAAGTGGTCTCTCTCAGCAGCAGGCCCCAGCTACAGGGCTCCCTTCCACAAGAAAGGAACAAACTATGATCTGATCTTTGACTCTCAATGCAAGGCCCACCTACGTCTTAGTGTTGTGTGTCGCTAGGCTGATCTATTTAATGCAGCCTTCTTGAGATTATCCCGGTTTTATTGCACCAACGTGTGTGCTGTTCTTCATGCTGTCCTTGTAGTGCTTTCTGGGGCAGCCTTGATTCCGGTGTCCTTGTGCCAATTCTCCACAGAACATTTTTCTGGGGAGTTGATATTCAGGCATCCGAATGACGTGTCCAACCCAGCGTAGCTGGGCTTTTATCAGCATGGTTTCGATGCTTGTGGCATTTGACTTTTGGAGAACCTCCAGGTTGGTAATTTTGTCTTGACAGCGGCTCCCCATAATGGCGCAGAGACCGCATATGGAAGGCCTCTAGCTGTTTGATATGCCATTTGTATGGTGTCCAGGTCTCACAGCTGTAGAGGAGAGGTGAGCACAGAAGCATTGTAATGTTTTATTTTGTTGAGAGGGTTCTGTTGTGGGATTTCAGGACTTGGTTGCTAGTGACTGAGAAACTCCCTCCCCATGTCTCAGCAAAATTTGAGATCAAGAAGGAATGGTTCTCCCATGGCACATCGACAGTCAGCTCAGCTTTATGCATGCAAGCATCACCATCAAGCATTTGCCCTTTATCTGTGTTCTGCAGAGCCACTGAGATCCAAATACTGGTCCAGTTTTTCCCCTTGGAATCCAAGTAAGGTGGGGTGTACCAGTGCCTCCAGGGGAAGAGCATCCGGAGAAGGAGGGAGAAGGGAAGGGAAGCACCTATGTGCAGTTAGGCTAAACCTATCACTTTCAAGAGCAATCTGTTGCTGTAGGAAGTCCATGACAACATGGAGAAAAAGGGGAAGTCATCTCCCATTTTGGGGGTGGGGAAGCAGAGGTACCTTGGTACCTTGCCAGCTATCAAGGTCTTTTAGTGCTTAATTATGTGTTTATCCAAAACTGCACTGGATTTTTCTCAGCAACATAAACCTATGCAAAAAAATGTCACTAGCTATAGAATATATCAACCAAAATTTTGGACAAAAGAGCTATCCCAGCTTCACCTTCTTTCTTGCAGAGGGAGAAATATGAAGATGTCAGGTTGGGAACAAAGGCAAACTTTGAAAAATGTAGTACGGTATTACAGCTGTACATGGCCAAAGAGCTGAAAAGACCTTGCATTCTTCTCTTGGAACTTTTCAATGAAAAAGGTCCATTTGTCAATAAATAGCAAGAGACCCCTTGTGTCTAGGAGTACTGTGACTGAACCAGAAAGGGAAGAGCACCCTCACTTTACACACGGGTGGAACAGATGGGTACTGGACAACAGCACATTCCCATTAGAGAATATCCTGAGCTTACTCAGGTAGAGCACTGTTGGATCAATACCTTCCTACCATGCTCCCTTTAATTCTTGATAGCCCTCTCTGGGGGGCTTCATTTGGAAAGTTGTAGGGTTTTCTGACAGGCATTGTATAAGCTCTGTACATGATCATTTTCACAATGAGATTTCAGAGACTGACAGGTTCAGTTGGCTCTTCCATCTCCTTTGCGGTGGAGCATCATTGCATCCTAAGCATTCCCAGCCAGCAATCAGCCACGTGCTTCTCTGGGGTGTCTTTAAATACTGCCATCAAGTTAACCACTGGAGTT